GAAATTAATGGGCACCAATGGACACAGAATTGAATATGAAACACATTCACGTTTCAAAAACACAGCATAATGGCTCACCTCAGTCTAAGTATGTGATACGCACACAGCGAGATAAAACATTCAACAACAACAACTTGTGCAGTTCTCCCACACCGTATTGGAATGCTACACCCCTCCTCTGCGATCAATACAAACAGCGTGTTTGTTAAACATGCCTGAGGCACTTTACATATGTCTGCTATTGTGTACATTCAAACCCAAACACCTCAGCGTCAACCTGAGCTGCAGTGTGGGGAACACAACTCAACAGATTGAAGCCCAGTGGGGGGTGAAGGTTAATGGAAGCAACCTGCAAAATAGAGATTTACAACTACTGCATCTGTTGTGGCAACCTTGGCATCGCAAAACATTCTTTTTTTAAACCGAAAAACAGCTTCTTCTTTTTTTTTACTGTAAAAAAAAGAAACAACAACAAAGAAAAATGAGAAAATGTTTTAAATTCACATGGCACAGTGTTGACTGTATAAGCTGTCCCTGGATATGTGCTTTGTGATTCACATTCATAGGTGAACTCGAGAAACTCGGTGTCAGGTTGAAAATTGCCTTGAGGCAGGTTACGATGATTCTGCCAGGCTTAAGATCAGAGGAAATGGAAAAAGAAAAGAACACTAGGGAGAACAAGTCCCAGTCTAATGTGAACATGGGAAGGACAGAACGGAACTGTCTCTCACATTTGAGGAATCCTTAAATCATCTTCTGTTGTCAGCATCCTTTAGACAGACCACATGCACACATGACGGCTATTCTATAACCCTTCCAGGTCAGTCATCCAACCGTCCACATCCTGTTCATCGATCTTTGTATCTGTTTAGTATATCTGGGTTTGTCCGATACTAGTCACATCACAATTATTCTTCCTGTTCCCAAACATAAAAATGATATTAAACATGAATATGCTTTTTGTATATATTACATTGTTGCTTTGTCAGTGACAGAGAGCTGGGTAGACACAGTTATACTAGTGTTCTATTTGGTTCCCTGCATATCTAAATGCTTATAGACTACATTCAGGCAATAAAGAAAACCTCTATTTTTTTTGGCGACTGAGTCATGCATTCAGACTAAGCAGCAACCCTGCAGCCAAAGGCTTCTAGTTCCTAGAGTGTTCACTTGACACTGTCTGCAGAAGCCCCTGAAGTCATACACGAAAAATAAAGCATAAAAAAAGATTGTTTTTACATCATATATTAACATGTTACAGCCTGGTTAAAAAAAACAATGTGGCCTATCTTTATTGGCACATATTGGTTGTAACCAAAACGAGGTGGTGGTTTGAGACACCATCTTTCACTCACGGTTCTGTTTTAAATTATTTCTAAAAAAAAAAGCTGAAGCCCCCAGACCCACCTTGGAACATGTGACCCTAACGACGCGCAGTCAACCAGGAAGTTTAACAACTCTAGGCAAGTCAACTTAGCTCAAGACTCTCATGTGAGTCATCCTTGATCATTACATGCTAGTTATCTACAGAGACTTACATTTCTAGCTCCGTCCCCCAGTTAGTTTAGAACTGAAGAAGGAGAAGTGAATCATCTTCAAGATCTTCAACCAAGTCCAGTGCCCTTTGGATCATGCTTCAAATTAAAAGAGTTATTCATAATAAGGGTTTCAAAAGTCCCCTTCAGTTACCAATGGGTGACGTCAATGAGACTTTTTTTTTACAGTCTCTGATTCAGATTTTTATTCAATAATATTTTTCCTGTTTTCATTCTTGCAAGAAAATAGGCATTCTCGTGTGGTTGTTGAATGTGGTTGCATTCCCTGAATTATTTCTGTTCCCATGTGCTTGGTGCACAGTTTCCATACTATACTGTATGCATTGAGTGCAATGTGTATAATGCCAATATAATACAACACAGAACATATCAAATCTCCATAAGCATTTGCTGGATGTTTGTTTCATGTGATTCTATTCATAGGTTGTGAGAGAGCTCAAGAAGAATTGCTATTGAAATCACTGAAGGCCACAACATTTGCCACATGAAACAGTGTTCAAAATGTGAATGTTGCTGGGCAACGAGCACAGTTCCAACAAAGGAAGAGTGTTCCTGTAAATACTACCTCTAAAACTACATTTGGTTCCAAGAGTACACAATTACTCATGACAGCAGCCAGTTGGCTATATTCTGTCAGGAGAAAGAAACGCTATTTTACATGAGAGCAGTGCACAAGAGGATATGTTGTGTCTGGGCAAGCCTTCTAACTTCTTATTTTTGTTGTTGTTGTATTTTCGCCTATAAATGTTGAATTCTGCCATCAGCACAGACACTTAAACCAACAAGAGAACCCAATTCATTGGTGGAGTAAAGAGGTGAGGGTGAGCCTGACAGTTATATTTCTTTAGGAGAGAAATCACCGCTATAGGCTGTAGGCCTGGCACTGTCTGTATCTCCATAACTTCACAGGGTATTAATTGTTTCAGCGCCGTCAGCAGAATGGCCTCTGCTTGTTGAACCGAATCCAGAAGTAAAATCATCAGCCAAATTGCATGGGAACGGATACTGAGGCTGAGCCACGGTCTAAGATGGCATGGAGAATGTCTGTCTGGCTCCATCTTGAGAGGTGAACTGAAGGTAACCAACTCTGAATTCTCTGAAGGTTGCTGTCATGCAAAAAAAAAAGGAAACTTACACTTTATGGCTTGTGGGTTGATGTTATGACAAAGTGCTCATTAATCAGGACGCGATTGCTGTCAAAAAAAAAAGTGACATATTTGCCAAAGGTGCAGACGTCATAAAACTTAATTTGACAGACATTGGAACTGAGACTGATTTATTATACTGCTCAAGATTCTCAAATACAATACACCATGACATCAGGTGAATATGGCATTGATGGGAATCCCAAAACCAGGGTTAAGTTGGGACAATCTGCAAGTGGTTCTGCTCGGAGTTTTTGTTTAAAATGCCTGTAGTTTTGAACTGGCATAATGGCCCTTTCACAGTGAAAATCTGGTTTGAATAAAACCAATGACGTGGTGGTTGAAGTGGCATTCAGATAATTTACTGACATAACATTATGAGTGCTATTATGAATAATTAGTATTCAGAACTTTACTTGAGTGTATTTTGCATAATTTTCCGTCATTACATAAGTAGGAAAGAGTACTCAGTTTGACTGTTGGATAATAAAATATTGAATTATAATAATTTCAGAAAGTACTATTTCAATTTTGTGGTTAATGTAGGCTTAACTTACTGTATCAGGAATCAATATTAAATGTGCTCCATTAAATGTTGTTGTTTTTTTTTAACTAAATACTATTAATGCATTAAATGGATGAACGTTTAAGGCCAGCTGTCTATATGAATGGAAAGAAGAAGCAACATCTATTAGTAACCAAGTGCAGATACAACGCACATTAAAAATGTAGCTGCCTATTTCCTTCTTAAACACACCCGAGCTTTAAAGCGCAGCTGAGTTGACGCAGAGGGAGGCTGCCATCGATTAAGTATCATTGCATATCCAATAGGGTTAGAGTGTAATGTTAAGTATAATACTCTCTATGCTTTCTGCTCCAGTCGTTTCTCATAACCTGTTTACACAGAAAGTAGAAATCATTCCCTGGGCACTTCCAGAAAGCAAACCCGCTAGTATTCAGTCATTCAAATGCACCATTTCAGCACCATGGACAGCGTCCTGCAGCAGCGTGTATTGCTTCACAGTATGTGGGTTTAAACTGCATTTACAATGGGGCTCGTTCTCACACACACGTCTGTGTGTATGCACAAAAGCAACTGGTGACGACCCTAGCAACATCAAGCTGTCTAAAAATAAACAAATAAATCCATTATCCTGACCTCAACCTGAGGATAAAAGTCTATCTTAGCCTCGAATAACCTTAAAGATCATCCACGTGTCATCATTTATCAAATGCAATCCTCACTGTGAATGTTTGAGACTCAAAAGAAGTCTTCATGAAAGCAGGAGAGCACAGGTATGCGTACGCTTTAAAAAATAGAATTCATGAAACGTTATCTATTGAATTCCTTGTTAAGCAAAACTGCACATTACAGAGCTACCTAATCTTGATAACATTTCATTGAAAGAAACATGGTTTCCTTCAGACAAAAAGCTCACATTTAATATTTGCTTTCCGGATTAGACTTTAGTTACCAGATGAATCTGGGTTTCTTCCGTGACAACAGTGCTTATAAACGTAGCATCGTTACATTCAACTCACGATGCACCCCTTTGGACAGGCTCATGGGGTCGCAGTCTCACCAGAAGGGAGCATTCCGATTCTGCCTGACAAAGTTGCCTTGACAAGCAGACGTGATTAACAACAGCGTCATGCTGCATTTCCAACCGAGCAACAACGAGAATCAAAGGAACATTTGGACAAAAAAGGTGCATATTTGGATACCTGAAGACTGTGACGGCGTTTTCGCAGGGAGACTTGTGGATAAACCGACCGTTACTTTCCTGTGTGCGCCATGCGCGGATCACACTGAGCATCTTTGAGAAAGGAGATGCCGGGGTTTACTTGAGAGAGGAATCTTAAGGCTGCGTGAATCCTTTGGAAATTTACGTCCTTTTTCGTACGGTTTTGCACAACATCCGAACGTATATGTTAAGTTTGGCGACCGCAATTTCGCGGAATCTCCACGAGCGTGTAAGGCTGACATGACTTACTTGGACGTGGCTTCGTTTTTGTCTGCGCTTACTGCAGTACTCTTTTTGGCAGTAACTTGAAACAAAAAAACCGAGAACGATTCATTTGGAGCCAGGACATGGACAGGGAGTTCTGAACAGGATTTTTTTTACCCTTTAAATCTGGAGTTGGAAGTAAATGACATTCACCCCGGTTCAGCTGTATGGTTACAGATGCAGAACTAAACCGGATAGCACATCCAGGTCCGGGAGAGTAAAGGGCAGGTGCGCTTTGGAGTCGGCGGCTGCGCGGAGAGACCGGGCTAGTGGATTAGGACGGTACCTGTCTGTGGAACGCGCGTCATGCGGACTCGGATGTCGCGCACTAGAAGCCATTCAAACCTGTAGGCTGGAGCTGACAGATAAGCCGATATGGGTAAGTTCTGCATATATTACCTTCTCTTTTGAATACGGTTGTTTCAAATTATACTCCACTTGTCCTCCCCTCTAATAATAAACCCTAAAAAAGCCTGTTTTCTTCCGAGCAGAGCTTGAATTTAATCAGATTGTTGCATCAAAAATGGTCGTTATTTCGTATTCACCGTGGTGGCATATAATCAGTGTTTTATTGTCTTTTCTTAAGTGGCTCGGGAAGCTTGAGGAATGTGGCTGAAGCCTGTGCTGTAGCCTGTTAGACGCAGAGCTGCAACGTGCTTTTCCCCCCTCCATTTGCTGATAGCATGACTTATTAGACACGGGGGATTATATTTTTTGTATTGCACATCAGTTTTAAACATTTGCTTCAAAATCACGAGCAAAGCAAAAAGCATCTCTGGCTAATTGTGGACTATCTCTTTTTTTTTTTTTTTCTCTCGACTAGTTAGACTGGCTGGCTCATTGTCATGGACTGAAATGCTAATCACGGTAGATGTTGGAAGCCAGTCAACTTTATAAAGCGTGGCTCTGCATAACCATTGATTGTTTCTTCATCTGTATATGCACGAAGCCGTTTGTCCAGTTTCAGCTCGGTGCAAACGCCTTCCCAAAAACTCTTGCGGTTGAAGACATCAGTCGTGCAGGTTTTGCTTATGGGTCTGATTCTCATTCAAGAAAGCCGTTTTATTCTGCACCTGCTATCAAGAGGGACTCTCCATATCGAGCATAACAACTGTGCGTCAATCCATCAATACCCTCTGTGTGTGGTGCTGGTGTGTGTGTGTAGTCAATACGCCTCTCCTTCAGTGTTGCATGATGATGTTTCTGTGTCTGCTTGCGTGCACGAGTTCTCATCTTATTCCCGGAATTGATAATTAACTAGTTTCCCTCGTTGTGCTTCCCTTACAAGTGTGCACTTCTACTCATCCAACTCCATTACCCCCCACTCTTCCCCTCTCTTGGTATTTCATATTTATCTGTTTCATTTCTTTCCAAAACAATTTGCTCGTTCTCCATCTTTTGCATTCTTCACGTCTAAAATGATTGTATTTCATATCCTAATCTCCTCAGCCATTCTTAACAGATATACAGATGGCCAAGTTCACTGGTGGTGTTGTGCCATTAATTGTGAGGCTGCATGATATATCGACCCACAGTGGGTTACTGCACCACATCAATATACGCTACAACGGCACACAAAGCCATACAGTACAGGCTGCAGGAGCTCAGACGCAATTTATGTGTACTGCAAAGCCACCATGTATGGTTAATCAAAGAAGCCTGGTTTATGGGCCTGCTTCCTAATTTGATTTCAGAGCATGGCAGCAAAGCCTGCATACTTGAGGTGCAGCTTTGAGTGTGTGTGCGTGTGTGTGTGTGTGTGTGTGTGTGTGTGTGTGTGTGTGTGTGTGTGTGTGAGAGAGAGAGAGACTCACACACACATTCAGGTGCTCACCCGTGATTGCATGCACGCCTGTGTCCAGGTGCACCAACCAGCCCCAAAATTGCAACTTTCCTCAACCATATAGCTTCATGCTGTTGCCCACAATTATTTGATGATTACATGGTGCTGTAGTCGCAGTTATCCACCAGTGTAGCTGACTGTGATGCTCTTCATTAGCAGCATGCAATGCACTTATGTTTCATGGACCATATCATTAGAGATCTGTTTTGTAGGATAATAATTGTAGGGTTAGGGTTAGTAAAAAAAATCTCAGCCATTGCAGATTTTTAAACAAAAAAAAAAATTTAGTTATCACCTTTTTTGCGTCTTAAACTTTTTGCTCTCAGAATAAGCACGGCCAGTTGTTTTCATAATACAAATGAAATCAAACTTTTTACAAACTGAAAACATTGAGTGAAACTAATAATATTAACTCACTTACAACTTCACACAGCAGCTCTGTAGAGGTAACAGATGACCTTTGGCTGGCCCCATAGTATCTGATAAGCAGCACTGTCTAAATGTCAGCTGAAGCTGGGTTAGGGGAGGGGGATAACCAGGCTTTTTGAGGGCCATTTAATGACATTCATTGTTTACATTAGCTTCTTTTGAAGGAAACAAATCAATAACCTGAAATGCACATTCAATCCAACATTGTTTCCTCAAAATACCCTGTTAAGGTTTCTTGTCTGTGGATTCATCGAGCTATACAAGCAGAGCTCACACTGGAGGTATTTACCAGTAACGCCCGGTGTACTAACTGAATCTTATGTTCAGCACGGTTAGCTTGTCAAACTCAAAGAAAGTCTTGCATATTTTATTAATTTGGACGTAGGACGTTACAGGCCACACGTAAGCCTATTTATTCCTATCGTATTTCAGCCTGGTAAGTAAAGAGCTGATTTTGTGGGTGTCAGAGTGCTACTGTGGAAGAGCTGTATGCCTTTAAACCATTTAAGATACTCATATATATCCATTCATGGTAAACCCATTTAAGCTTTGCATTACAAATGCCTCAAAGTCTGACTTAAATTAAATTCTAACCCTAAGCCTCAAATCCTGTCTTATACATCCCTTTGGAGATGTTTGGATTATTTATATTTCATTTTGATCAAGATCTAGACAAGACATATCCCCCAAAACACAAAATATCATTTCCCTATGCTTTCAGAAGAACTGTTTTTTTTTCTTCTATTCTTAAGAGTTGTTGTGTATCTGAGGTATTATTGGATGACATGGTAGAAGAAACAATGCTCAACATTAAAGTGACATTTGAGGCCACATTTCCATTTGTATTGATACTGCTTACTGGGATAGCATTACTTACAACTTAGCAACAATGATAAACAGTCAAGCTGTCCAGGTTTTACTCTTTCCTTTATTGTCATATTTACCCTTTCTTCGAGCAATACAATTGCACCCTTAACAATTTTGCTTTCACAACTTTGGCAGATTTGTAAATATGTTGATATCTCACAGGAGCGATGATGAAATGTACTGTAATGAAGTCAGGGCCAGAGACTTACTTCTCTGCAGAACAGTAAAGAGTGAATGGTGTGATTGCTTATTCACTTACACTCCACCGGCATTGTACCCTTCCCACTGAGGGAAAACAGGGAATTAGATGGGGCTGAAACAAGACGGTCAATACATGTGTGTGTGTGTGCCTGTGTGCACACTTCCTCTGATTCTACCTAATCAGCGCAACAAATACAAGACGGGCACATCAGGACACAATGTTTTCCAACCACTGTTGAAATGGGTCTAACTTGGCAGGCCTTGCTATCATCTCAAAGATAATTGGAGACTAATAGGATGGCTGAGGCGGGTCTGGGGACGTCCTTCCCTGTGAGTTCGGATGCTGTCCAGCCTCTATGTGTAGTCAAGGCTGTGGCTGCTTGCAGTTTTGTCAATGACAAGCAGCAAATAGCAATGAGCCACTTGTGTGCACTCAAAGTGCACCAGTTAGCGAGTCCATTTGCCAAGTTATTAAGCTACATTTGGTTTTATTTTAGGTCAGCAGTAAAGTGCACTTACTCGCTCTATGTGTTAGGGTTGAGAGGCAGAAATAGCTATCTTCCCTGCTGAGGACAGCAAGGCTGTCTGCTATATAACTAAACATTACTGATATTCCTTTAGACAAACTTTAGCCATGTTGTATCCATGCACCTTAAATTTAGACAGAAAAGTGCAGTGTGACAAAAACATGAGAGCATCTATATATATTTCCATACCCAAACATGAAAAGAAAGCAATCAACTGTTCATCCTAAAAGTTAGAACTAAAGGAAAACAAGAAAGAAAGAAAGAAAGAAAGAAAGACCTTTGGGGAAAAATGGAAATCTTGAAGGGAAGTGAAGAGGCTGAGGAGATGGTTTTGACCACATGCATAAAAATAGACATCTCATTATAAAAACTTCCTGATGGCTGCAGGGTTCAAGGACATGCATAACTTGCATATTCTCAAGAGGATAGAGAATAAAATGAAAGGAATTGTTCATCTAAGTAGATACGGTGTAAGAACAGCAATGGCGACAGTTACATCAGGTAAGAAGTAATAGCGACACAAACCCCATGAGTGACACCTCAGAGGGTGACTTGTGCTCCTTTGTGAATAAGATTAGAGGAGAAAGTGAAGAAGGAGATGGCTTACAGAGGCATTAGCCCACCAAGCGCTCATTAAACCACATACAGTGTCAAGTAAGGGGAGAGAGGTGACTTGTGAGGCAGGCTCAATCTGAAAGAGATGGTGGAGTCACTTCTAATAAAGCAGGCCTATTATGCACATGGGAAATACAAGCAATAGGGGCCTGTGTCTAGATCCTCTTGGGAAACCAGTCAAAGACGAAATTTAGAAAAAAAAGTGTTGATGTTCAACAGCCCACACACCCTGTTTGTGAGTCAAACGTTTTGTCTATCAAAGTAATTCAAACACACATTCCACATGGGCATTGTTTTATATCAATATTCCGCTGCCATCTCTACCTTATTTGTAAGACTCTGAGGCACAGTGTCGTTGGCAAATTTGCACAACTCTAAAAAAACTGCATCCTGTGATCCCCGTCGTTTTCTTTGCAATATGTTATGTGGAAGAATCACAATCATTGGATCCAAGGTGAAGCAACATGATTGATGTATCTGCTGCTGTAATCAATAGCCAGCACATATTATCTGTGCAGTTGCATGGTTCCCCCATCTGTAAGGGATGATGAAAGATTCATCTGAAAACAAACAGCAAGTATATATCTCTCATTCTCACTCATAGACACACATAGATGAGCACAAAATACCCATATGGGATAAGCAGATGCTTGGCAAAGAGCAAAATGGCTATGTTAGATGGCATATGTTGTATGATGCCTCTCAGCCATTCTATGTCAGGAAATCATGTCACACAAATCCTGCAGTATTATTGAAAATACTAGAACATTAAAATCATCCTTATTGCCTAAATCCAATGGCAAGAATTGTTAAAGCCCCAAGATATCATGGTATAGTGGAAGTTCATCATCACTGTAACACATATAAATAACTTTGAACACATTCATTTAAGGGACTTGGTAATTTAAGCATGATGCCTGCCAACACATCATACACTTAGTACGCTAATTAAAAGATAGGCTGCTTATATCCTGACATATTTGTCTTATCTCCCTCTGATAATGGCAATAAAGCCCATTCTTAATTATATCGCCTTGAGAAACACACGTAAGTAGTGAATCCCCCATACCACCTCTTCAAGGGGAAATCAATGTATCTTAATGACAGATCATTAGTGGCTCTGTAAAGGGGAACGATTTTAATGGAAACAACTCTGTCTCACCTAAGAACAAGGAGTGATATAGGAAGCTACCGACCACTTTTCTTCTTTTCAAGATGGAATTTCAAAGGAAACATCTTCAGCCAATTTAGAAGAAATGTACATCACACTTTTACAGTATATATGTATGCAGTCATTCTCCAAAGACATGATGTGCCAGATTTGTCGTGTAGGTAGTTGATCTATGTAGAAGACATGAGTTATGTAATTCCATGGAGCTAATAGAGATATTCTTTTTCATTTGAAGATGTGGAATACAGAAGGAATGAGTCACGTCAAACCTGTCCTGCTTGGATTCGGTAAAAAATGAAATGGCTGAAGTCTAAATTGAAATGCCTCCGGGATCGTATACAAAACCATCCGCTCTTGAATGTTAATTTGCTCTGTACTGACTGCCTTTTATGACTTATCTGCCTCCGCCATTGGTGCAATGAAGGCTTGTGGGATGACTGAATACAAATACAGGGAGAGATATGATTGAGAACGTTGCAAGTTTCTTTGCTTCAGACCTGGTTGTCAGTGTGTATTCATTACAAACATGCAGCACAAATGACATCAATCCAAACAACTAAGACCATGTCATTTGGGATAATGAGTTTCAACAATAAAGACATTGCATTACATGTGTAACTTTTATTCAAGAAAGAATATGTTTTTAAATATTAAACTAATTATTGACCAAATACATGGTAATTTAGTCAACATAACTACAATTTATTTTCTTACCCTAGTCAGTTATTCATGTAAAACTATTTTTTTTTCAATTATAACTGTAGATATTAAGACCTGACAGATATGGTTTTTGGGGCCGATACCAATTTCGATATTGGGGAGTGAAAAAATCCAATACCGATATATCGGCCGATATCTTTCATAGATCTATGTTTGATCTGTGGAGATAGATAGATATACATATGTATTGCGTTGATCCCTCAGATGCTGTTATCAAACATGTGTAGAAAACATTCATAATGAAGACAAGACGGTCACGCGACTGCTGTGTGTACGGTTTTCTGTGCATGTACGTGCGTCACTGCTTGACACTCTGGAGAGAGATAATGGTTGTTGTAATCCAAATAGCGCTTTCTGCTGGTGAAAGAGAACTGCATAATAAAATGAAGCTTAAATAAAATGCTATTTCACTGGTGAATAAATCTAGTTATATCGGCGTATATCTGCAATAAAATTAGCCGATACCGATAGTCCCTGAATATGCTAATATCGGCCAATATTACCGAATGGCCAATTAATCTGTAAGGCTGTAGTAGTAAATATTCAACTTACTTTAGACACTGTTCACTATTTCAGTGAAAAAATGCATGTTTGCTTTTCATACTGTGTTCACACTTAAACTGTCTTAAAAGTCTTAATTTTTTGCAATACTCTTTAACACCTTGTCTGTGAGAAACATAATTTAATTCAGCTGTGTACTGCACCTGTATGATGAATAACTATAAAAGTTAAGATGAGTTAAAATTAATGAAAAGATAGATAGAGGACATTTCTGTCATTTATACAATCAACTTGCAAGTATTAAGCATTCTGAATTCAAAAGTCATTTTTATGGAACGTCAGTAATTGCTGTGATAAGATCATGTTGAGCAGCAAGTCATAAATATCACCTTCAAGTTTGGAACCAGACACAATGTTCTCCGATTAGATTACTGTCACTTTCACTTGGAACAAATTGGTGTCAGGAAAGCTGACAAATACATGCTGTCTGTTTTGCAAGTATTAAAGTTGATGTGAAAAATAAGTAATGCAGTTTTCAGAATCTGGTCTCTTTTAACCTCTTTATCCACCTCTCGTGGTTTCTTTCGAGCCATCTGGGGAAATGATTCACATATTCAACAGTCACATGCCATTTTATGAAACTTTTTCAAACTTGAGTGCATGGGCAAAAACTAAAACTGATTAAATATACTTCTGTTCAATAACAATTATGTAATTAGATGAATGAACTAACTAACCCACTAAATAATTATGGATAATCAAATAATTGTGTTGTTTCTATTAAAGCCAAGTATGAATATATACCTGAACACATCCCCTCACTAGAAACATTTACTTATGTTACTGTAATACTTTTGGAAGAACCAGTCCAAGTGAAAAACTGCTCAGTTGTATGACACCATACAACTGGATGTATAAATGTTTAAAGTCAAAAAAAGTGGTTTTATATCACCCTGAATACAAGCTAAAACCACTTTAGAGTTCTGTTTTTTGCGGTTGTAAATGTTGAACAAGTATCCAAAGAAAAGTGTACAAATGCAAAAGCTCTGCTACTTGCTGTTGTCTTGAGAGTACTTCTTAAGATGTTGAAAGCAATCTGCCAAGGTTGCTTGGCTACAGCATTTGTTGGGCTGTAAATCCAGCCTGGGTTGTGGACAGATACTGTCCATCATCTTCCCTTTGCTAAACAGAATGAATGGGGTACATATTGATGGACGTTAAAAATACTCTAATGAAGGAAAAAGTAAGAAACTATATGCAGTGTTTGACTGAAGGTCAAGTAAAAAAATAAAATAATAAATATATATATATATATATATATATATATATTTTTTTTTTTAAGATTTATTTTTGGGCTTTTTGGGCCTTTATTGTAGGGATAGGATAGTGGATAGAGTCGGAAATCAGGGAAAGAAGTTATTTAAGGATACCTTTCCGATAGAAAAGGACAGCTGTCATTAAAAGTAACACATGAACACCAAGATTTCTTCAAGTGTTTGTGTCGTTGTGTCGCCGTATCGGCATGTCGGCTTGTCCCCACACCCCCAACGCTGTAAACGTAGGGGAAACACTGATATGTGATGTGTATATATTTAATGTTTTTAAAAAGCTCTTCTTAACTTTTCTTACTTTTCTGTTTTTTTCTCTCCCCTTCCTTTCACCTATAGGCTCTGCTCTGCGGCGTCGCTGGCTAGTGGTCCAACTCCTAATGCAGGTGTGGCTGGCAGCAAATCCATCATTGAGTGAGCGCCCATGCCCCAAGAGCTGTCGCTGTGATGGAAAAATTGTCTACTGCGAGTCAAGCGCCTTCCGCGATGTCCCCAAGAATCTCTCAGGAGGCTGTGAAGGCTTGTCTTTGCGGTACAACAGCCTCGCCAGTCTAAGAGCAGGCCAGTTTGTTGGTCTGAACCATCTCATCTGGCTCTACTTAGACCACAACTACATTGCCTCTGTGGATGGAATGGCCTTTCAAGGTGTCCGCAGGCTCAAAGAGTTGATCCTGAGTTCCAACAAGATCACCTCGCTTCACAACACCACATTCCACCCAGTCCCTAATTTACGAAATCTGGACCTGTCGTACAACAAACTGCAAGCTTTGCAACCAGGACAGTTCCAGGGACTACGGAAGCTTCTCAGCCTTCACATGCGCTCAAACTCATTAAAAACTGTCCCAATGCGTCTGTTCCAAGATTGTAGAAATCTTGAATTCCTGGATCTGGGTTACAATCGCTTGCGCAGTATCACTCGGAATGCATTTTCCGGCCTAGTCAAGCTCACTGAGCTGCATTTGGAGCATAACCAGTTCTCAAAGATCAATTTCTCTCACTTCCCTCGCCTGTACAATTTGCGAGCACTTTACCTGCAGTGGAATCGCATTCGTTCAATGAGCCAAGGTCTGACTTGGACCTGGGCCTCGATCCAGAAACTGGATCTGTCTGGGAATGATCTGACAGAAGTGGATGCTGTAGTTTACCAATGCTTACCAAACCTGCAGACCCTCAATCTCGACTCCAACAAGCTGACCAATGTCTCCCAAGAGGTGGTTGATGCCTGGATCTCTTTGACTACAATTAGCTTAGCTGGGAATGTATGGGACTGTGGCCCTGCCATCTGTCCCCTGGTGGGCTGGCTAAGAAACTTCAGAGGGGCAAAGGAAACCACAATGATCTGTGCCTCCCCCAAGAAAGCCCAGGGGGAGAAAGTTTTGGATGCTGTCGAGGCTTTTGGTGTGTGTCAATCAAATGCAGCAACAACACTCACTGTGAGTATTCCGCCAACCCCGCCCAGTGTCCCTCTGCAAACTGAACGTTACCCAGCCATTCTGTCTTTACCTACTGGGTCAGGGAAAAGGGGGGAGGGATCCATCAGGGGCCCCACCTCAGCCGTTACCCCTCCAGTGGCACTACCCCCAGAGCAAGACTTGGAGCCTGTGTCCTTCCATAAGATTGTAGCTGGAAGCGTTGCCCTTTTTCTATCAGTTGCGATGATCCTGTTGGTGATCTACGTGTCTTGGAAGCGCTACCCTAGCAGCGTCAAGCAGCTGCAGGAGCATTCGGCAGCAGCTCGCAAACGCCGCAAGAAAGCGAGAGAGACGGAGCGCACCCTGAGCTCCCCACTGCAGGAGTACTATGTGGACTACAAGCCCACCAATTCCGAGGCCATGGATGTGCTTGTCAATGGGACCGGACCCTGCACCTATACTATCTCAGGCTCCCGAGAATGCGAGGTATGACCCACACCACCGCCACTTCTCCTAAACAAAACTCTGTCCACAGCAAGAGGACCAGAGGTAATTATTTACACTGCTTTGATAGATGATAAGACTGCTCCTTGTTTACTTAGTGTTACACAGCAGGTTTGGTAAATACTGTGTACCCATGGATTAGTATTAAATCTAGAGTAGGTGGTGTCTGCATCGTTTTGTATTTAACAAGATCTCTCTTGTTTTCAGATGGGTGTTTGTACATTCGCTTAAAACCTAATCTCTGCTGAGATGCAAATGTTTGTTTTGCACAGAATGTACAGAAATACAGATAAATTAGTCTGATTACATTTTCCTGTTCTACGTAATCTTGAGCTTAAGCTTTGCTATTTATGATAAGACATTTGTGCTTGTTAAGGTACCCTTTGCTTTTTTTTTTTTACTTGAATAACACTTGCTTTATGCTTTGTGTGTTTTCTCTACTGCTGTTCACTTTTTGATGAGCAGTATTGTGTGGGAAGAATAGCTGAATGGTGGAAAATCTCACTTATGGACACTGGATGTGAATGCTAATAGAGATTCTTGTCACTGAAGAGAGCTTCCTCTCAGATGATTGTTTCACCCTTTTTTTAAATATATCTGTGACTCAAAGTGTTTGTTAGAAAATACCTCATTTGTATGCTCCCCCAACAGCATTTCCTTCCTTCTTTTGCACACTGAGTTGAGGAAGCTCCTCATTGGTTTACTCACTAGTGTTAATTGTTCGTCACACATAAAGTGGAACGATGCTTTCACTGGCCATCCACACATTAACTTACACAGGAATAGGGAAAAATACACATTTTGCGAATCACACACTCACCCAGAAAAAGGTAGTGTTTGATCATCCTGAAAGGAGTGGCAATCCTTTGAAATGCTTCATAAACAGACAAGTGAATTTCTTCAAAACAGCATTTACAGGCCAAAGCAATGTGGGATAAACACTTTTCTCTTTAGCTGTTACACATGGCATGCTGTACTAGTCTTGGTTATACATTTACTCCACAGCTGGGTTTCTGCAAGTTTTTACAGAAGCTATGGCTCAGAAAAGCTTCAGCAGTTTTTATTTTCCTTCTTCCAATCACTGATTAGCTGGCCCTGTTTTATCAAAGAGGCTAAGGAAGGGATTAGTCCATCTGGATGATGAGGTAGCCCATCTTTGAAAAAAATGAAATCCAAAAGGCTTCAGACACATTTTGTACAAGCTCTCTTTGTATTTTCACATTACCAGCCCACTCAAACTGGGTCTAGTTCCTGGATCTTCACAGCATTTCTGTGGCATACATTTCTGGTAGGTTTTCTCTGGAGGAATGACTGTAAATGCAGAGGTTTAAACAGCGAGGTGGAGGAGTAGGAGGGCTCGATCTGCTAAAAAAAAAAAATTCTCCGTTTCTGTTACTGACCGTCTGGCTTTCCAGAAGGCAGTTCACCTGATGTAATGCTGGCAGGGTGCTCTCAGTGGTTCGATTGTAGAGGCACCACAAATCACAGCTGCCATTTTGTTGTTTTTTGCAAAGGGCTTGTGTTGTTCAGCCTACAGCGCCACATTATGTTAAATATGATTTTTTAAAGCGTAAAACCTTGAAAGTGATGCTGTATGGATGAAGTATAGAGGACGCTGCAGTCTCTAAATGTCAGTAGCTGTTTTACACTTTGTGTGTTGCCAGCATCTTCCATTTGAATGAGGTCACTTTCACATGACCTCACCTTGACACATTGTGTGGCTTCAAAACAACGTCCCATGCTGTTTTCAACCCAACATGTGAATTGCATGATATCAACCCTGCAATTTGCACGGAATGCCGTGGCTGGATTTGATTGGCATACACGCAGTATTATCTCACAACTAAAAATATACCTTTTTGATGTCTTGACTTTTTCAATATGTCCCCAAATATAAAATTAAATAATTATAACCCGGTTAGGAAGTTTTTATTTGTACATTTTATTTAATTCAAACAAACAATAAAGTTAAGAAAAACAAACAAATCTCAAATTTTGAATTAAAAGGAGCAGAAAGAAGACTAATATCTGCCCCTCTTTCACAAAACATTAATTCAATCAAAGGAATTGTTTTAGGGGGTCTCAAAAGCTTGAGCAGGTGCTCGTGTTCTTGTATCTGCCCCCTATAATTTGAATAATTAGCCAGTTAATTTGCAAAGCACACAGCAGGAGACAGCTGCCCGCAAGAATTATATCATCATTAAAGGGCGGAGTGATATCATTGAAGATGTAGTTTTAAAATAGATTTACAATTGTTCAGAGTTAAGCTAATATACAATACATTAACAAAAGATGTTATATACATATTAGTTGAGCTTTGATCATATTTTTTAATGGGGCTGGTGGTCATTTTAGACAAGACTGTAACATTTTGTTTGGATTCAGTCTGATATAAGACACCCTGGATTATCTTGTACCCTCTAAATTAGGTTTTTCTTATCTTTGTCGTTCACTTTTTGTCAAAGTGTAGGGTTAGGGTTTGTTCGTTAAAACATTTAAGGTGGTCATAGTTTATTTTTTTTATAATCCTAAAGTCCATATATACTGTATGATATGCAAACAACAACTGGCTGAGGACAGTGCTGTGTAGAAAGGGGATTCTGTCGTACTGCTTTCCAGTCATATTAGGAGGGATAAAATCGGTGACTGCCAGTCCCAATTTTCAGTCCTGATGTCCAATGGCAGATGGATGAGAATACCATGTATTATCATGGTTAAGGGAGGCCTTGAATGGCATTTTGTTAAGATCCGGTCCACACTCCTCTAATAGTGTAAGCTATCTGCCGTTTACCATTGGAATCATTGCATCCATCATTAGCCTTTTTATCTTGACTTGCTTGAACTTGGCAATTTAGTCGACTCTTTTATCCTGTGAGCCAAATCAAAGAGAAATTAAGCCATGCTAAGAGCGGCAGGGGCCAGATCAACATTACAGAGCCAGCAGAGTGTAACAACTCAGTGGAAAAAAAAAGTGATTCATAAACAAGCAAGCACATGAAGCGATTCTTTACAGAGAATCAACAGATATACATAAAGGAAAGAGTTTTTTTATGTCATGTTATTAGCTAGTCTGTTAAGCAGCATGTCATGTATTTGTCATGTGAGACGGAGTTCTGATGAAGTGCTGGAAATTTAATGTAACAAAAATAGACGGTTACTATGCATGTTGTTGTTGTTTTGTTTTTTTTTACAGTTAAGGCTTCCTCTCTTGGGATAGCGAGATTTTGAAGACAATGCCAATCTGTTGTTTATCTCCCTCCACTGGCTCCCAGTTTCTTCTCGCGTCAAATTTAAAAACATGCTGCTCGCTTAAAAAACAGCGACACTACACTCCCTCCCGCCCATACACTCCGTCAATCCAACCTTCACAACAAGGCCCTAGGTCTCTAACTACACTCTTCTCCTCTGTCGCCCCCCAGTGGTGGAGCAAACTACCAAATTCCATCCAATTCGCAATCCCAATTCACCTTTACACCTTTAAAGAAAGGCTTAATGAACACTCACGTAATGATATTTAGATCATCATCATTTAGATCAAAATGAGTATTAAAAAAAAAAGGGCTTTGCCTCTGCACACTGCCTGTCAGCACCTGTGTGTCCAGTCAGACTTAAAGCTGTTCACTTGCACTTACTGACGTAGTTTCCTACTCTCTAGATCCTTGCTTGTGTTGTACTTACTCTCTGATGATCGTCACTTTGGGCAAAAGCGTCTGATAAATGAATTGTAGAACTTTAGAATATACTGCATAAAAGTCATAACAACTATGTGAGCACATGAAGGTAAACTCAGTAATATGTACTTGTGTAATTCCTTTCACATATGGGGTTTTGTTTCAACAAGCCTCCTTTTTTTTCTCCACACTCTCCTCCATTTTGTTTCCTGAAATATCCTTTGTAAATGCACACTCTCCATTCTTATCGGTTCTGTCCCATCTTTAAACATTGTAGTGGGGAGACAGGAACTATCAGTCAGCGGTCCAGAAAGTCTTGAGTTCATCTCAGACTGTGCTCCGATCTTGTTTCTACATTTGGTTGGTCTTGCGTGGACATAAATCACCTGACAGCACGCAGCAGTACCTGCTGCTCTTTCCCCACCTCATAGCACTGCTGTTTCTCCTCAGGCTCAGGGCTGTTCATCTCTCCTGAGTGGGAATTACTTATTCCTCCAGTGTCACTCTTAACATTTCTTTCCTTCGAATTCTGTAACATCACTATAACTCACCCTGGACCTCTTCACATGATTGTCCTTTATCAGCCCCCAGAGCCACCTGCCATTGATGAGTTTTGCAGCCTTTTTAGTGGATTGCTTGAAGATTGTGCAATCCTCAATTTATTACATCACTTCAACCTTCCCACTGAGAGGACAGTTTCTGCCATTTCTTTTCTATTTTAGTTGTTGTTTTTTTTGTCCTTTATAGCTGTACCCCTTTAAAAGATTGTGGAAAAGTTAAGACCACTACCATCTTAACATGTATCAGAACATTACTTGACATGCTTTTTCTATTTTATAATAATTCATATTTTACCTTGTTCCTCCAATCACATTTCACTTTTTTAAATTCCTAGACATTTATTAACATTATCATCACTCATGGACCTTTTCTTCTTAAAATATTAACCCTTCCCAACCTTTTTTGGCTCGTGACCCCACTTGGCATCACAAAACACTGGTGGCCCCAGACATCCACAACACATACAGCTTTTTGCTCAAAAAAATCATTTGTTTTCAAAAATGTAACAGTTTTTCTCCACATTTAGGCTTTTCTTGTTTTTTTATTGTGGACAGAAGTAGAAAGGGCTTGGATGACATTTCTGCACAATGGGTGAGAGACAGACAGAGACACTGCACATTTTATTGTGTTGACATGGGCCCACTGTAGCCTCTGTTCAATACATTTCAATACACAATATATATTTTTATCAATCAATGAATACAAATTTCAGATGATCTGTTTTGAATTCCCTGCGACCCCACGTGTGGTTGGGAC